CCACTTTATTTAAGATGTGCCTTCTAAAAATTTGATTTCTTACGAATTTTACAAAATCAAAAGCCTTCATGATGCTTACAGTGGTCAGTGAGAGGTTTTCTGCAGATTATACAAAGTGGTTAGGCAACTTTAATTTACTGAAGAAATATTGCTATGTTTGTAACCCAAATTACAGTCTTCATATCCATATTGCATCTTTAATGTACCGGTAATATCCGTCTTGTTTAGCAAATATGTAATCAACTTGGCTTGTATATAATGTGACACAGCAATACGCTACAGCATTAAGAATTGAGGGTCAACAAACTTTTTCGAAAAATAGACCTTCACAATTGTGTTTAATACTATGGAGGGGCTAGACTTGCTTGTAGTTGCGATTCTGATATAAAATTCTTGAAAAATAAATATAAATTGTGTGAACGAGGGGTGAACGCGAAAGTCATGTGACCACGAAATTCGTGTAAGCTCCCTTATATTACCCGGCAAATTCGGGCTTGTAATGATTGACATGTCAAATATGTTTCAACCAGAAGACAGGCTAATTAGCATATCAACTGAGACCCCGGAAACCATAAACACTTTCTTGGATAAACTTAGATCCCGATAACTTTACTTACTTTCTCATATCCGAATCGCATATGCCATTTTATTTTAGATTGAATTTCAAAAAACGTGCAATGTTATCAGGAGAATGTTTGGAGACGGCCTTAACAGTATTAGGATACCAAAGCCTTCGTCGATATCAGCGAGAGGTCGTAGAGGCCTACTCAGATGGCCGAGACGTGTCTGCACCTACAGGCAGTGGAAAATCGCTGACTTTCAAAATGGCTTCATTTTGTATCGACTACAGGCATGTGTGATGTCCGGTTTATTGTTATGATCCGTGGTTCGGCTGCTCCACCCACCGTATGACGTAAGAAATCACACAGAATATCATATTATGTGCTCATGCTACAAATTTGTGATTAAGACCAAGACTTTTTGTGTATATATTGTGAAAATGAAATGCAAGCTTCCTTAAGTATGTGTCGTTAGGAGAGGACATAATGCAAGCTTCCCTAACCAAGTATGTATTTTCAAGAAAGAACATAATGCAAGCCTCCCTAACCAAGTAATATTTGTTAGAAGTACACATAATGAAAACCCTAAACAAGTATGTATTTTAGGAGAGAACATAGTAAACCTCCTAAACAAGTATGTACTGTTAGGAGAGAACATAATGCAAGCCTCCCTAACCAACTATGTATTTTTAGGAGAGAACATAATGCAAGCCTCCCTAACCAAGTAATATTCGTTAGAAGAGGACATAATGAAAACCATAACAAATTATGTATTTTTAGGAGAGAACATAATGCAAGCCTCCCTAACCAAGTAAATATTTGTTAGAAGAGGACATAATGAAAACCATAACAAATTATGTATTTTTAGGAGAGAACATAATGCAAGCCTCCCTAACCAAGTAATATTTGTTAGAAGTACACATAATGAAAACCATAACAAATTATGTATTTTAGGAGAGAACATAATGCAAGCCTCCCTAACCAAGTAATATTTGTTAGAAGTACACATAATGAAAACCCTAAACAAGTATGTATTTTAGGAGAGAACATAGTAAACCTCCTAAACAAGTATGTACTGTTAGGAGAGAACATAATGCAAGCCTCCCTAACCAACTATGTATTTTTAGGAGAGAACATAATGCAAGCCTCCCTAACCAAGTAAATATTTGTTACAAGAGAACATAATGAAAACCCTAACCAAGTATGTATTTTTAGGATAAAGCAAGCCTCCCTAAACAAGTACCAAAAAATAAATAAGGTTAACTAAATAATTTTTCCAGCATACTTCACATGCTTCATCAGCAAATGGAAAAATTCAAAAATTTTTAAATAAATGAGGCAGCAGAGAAAATCATTTCATAATCAAAGTGTCTCTATCTTCTTATGTCTGAGGCTTTTGTAAGAATTAAGTTCACATCAGTGTCAGGATAGTTCTGAAATCAAAATGCAAGAGATAAAAAATTGTTACTTAACACAAATCAATGAATGTCTAATTGTTGCAGTTGAGACAAGCTTTTGTATACTATACAAGAAACCCACCACCAGTAGAAACACGACATTGACTTATCTCACCTGTAGTAATTTCATGTTAGATGAGAAGTCACCATCAATTAATTTATCACGAACCAAACTAAAATAGAAAGAAAACAAAAATCAACATGAAACTGTCACTGCTGAATTAGGTTACTACTATAACTGGAAAATAATAGATACTCTGAAATTATGGTTTTAGACACAATTACCAGGGCAGGAATTATCTGGAATAGAAAACTAAGCTGAGTTTGATTTTGTTAGGAATAGAGTAGAGGGTGATTAACCACTCTAGCAGGTTTTTTTGCACTCTCTGCTTTGAGCAAGCCGATTTACTATTCAACACCAGACTTTCTCACCAAAATTTTTTCCTTATATTTGTCAATATTTTTGGAACTGAACCATAATTTTAGAGAAAACAGACAAAATTTGAGTCAATTTACAGTTTTTGTTCAAAAAAGTTGGCTATATTTGGCCCAATATTCTGAAGGAACATGCAGAATATAAACAAAACCATTTTGTAAATTACATGCAGACATACATCAAACACAATACATCCATATGTACGATTCATCAGCATGGTTACAATGTATGTGTTCATAGTGATGAATCTCTGAACAATAACTGTAGAAATGAGTCTTGTATGCACTCATAGAGTTAACAATAAATTAGTAATCTTTATGGACTAAATACAGCTTTTGTGACAAAAAGCATGCAACATGATGTATGGGTTTCCAACCAAGTTTGAATGTGCACAAAAAGGAATATGGGCTGGGCATGATAAGGTATTCATTTATGATTTGTCAATATGTTACTAGTCACCAGCAATAAAATCTTAGTAATAAAATACAATACTGTATAATGACAGCATACTTTGGTTCACTAATACCTAAAAATGCTGATAAAATCATCACACAAAAGCTAGAAACAATTGAGACAAAAACATAATGCCACTGAACAATAAGTTTAACACTAACACTAACACTAACATGCTTCCGAAATTGAGAATTTCAGTCATCGGCATCTTCAGGAATTTGTTATGAATTTTATTTCTCAATTTCATAGTTTTTTCAGATTAATGTGAATTCTCCAAACAACTATTGGGACAGATATAGGGTTCAACAGAATTCAATCCACTATGCAGTCAGCTTGAAAGCGGTTATAAATGCGTTTTAACAGGTTTGTTCTATGAAGTGTATTTTCGAGTCTAAAAATGATCTACTTTAGTCATGTGACCATTACATCTGTACAGATAACAAATTACTTATTTCTATAATTTATTAACAACTGTCACAGAAAATTTTATTGTACCTAAAATGTTGAAATATATTGCCTGTAGATGGCGCTATTTTACATTGCAATATCTATCACAATACAGTGCAGTATGAAATCTAGTGTATCAAAATATCTGATATACTTACATTATCATAGCACAACAAATATCAATCAGAAATTCAAATCTTTTTTCATCGGAAAACAAGGAGTCCCAAAGTCTGATAATATCTGTTGGATGGAATTACAAATAGAATAGTGATATGATGTAAATGGGTATAAATTAGCAGCTGTGGTACATTAAGAATTCTAATTTTCTCAATAGAACTTTTTTTTCATCCCTGATGGCCAACGTCTTGTAATAAAACATTTGAATATACATAATTAGGGTTCCTACCTGGAAGAGGAAATTCTTGTGATAATAATAATGTAACCCATCTAAATATAAAGAATTGAGGTTTAAGATCTTGTTCTTGTAGCTTCAACCAAAGTCTCATGTCTTTAGATTTCAGTTTCAGCATGGTATTTGTCATTGTTGCATTAATACCACTCGCTGAATCATCCAAGGATTTTATAAAACTATCACGTATTTCAGACATTAGGTTCATAAAACAAAAAAAGGCATCAGCTTCAGCATGTTCTGAAATGAAATAAAAGCGGCTTACAAAAGAATGAGAATCATTAGTATGTTTGAGAACTTTTGAGAGTATGTGGGAGCAGATAACATCATATTAAAATTGAATTCGGATAAAATGCTACTCAAAATGTGAAAATAACGTCATTTCCTGTATTTTTACACTTTTATGTGACATTTCATGTTACATCCGGATTAAATAGACTTGAAATTATAGGGTTTACAGTTACCATACTCAGTTCAGAGAAATCGACAAGTTTGGTCCATTTTAGGGCATTTAGCCATATTTTACCATGGAAAAATATATTTTCTTTATTTATTACTCAGATCAAAAACAATATCCGCAGAGGACCAGCTAATGGTCATGACCTTAACAGGGGGTATAGTTGCTACCTCTGCTGTGGTAGCTAGGTATGTGCTCATCTGATGCTACTGTACCATCCTGTTTCAAAGCTACACTGTATGAGATAACATCTTCAAATTTTGCTTGGCTACATAAGGGTGGACAAAAAATATAGCCTAATTGCTCTATTTATTAGCAGTATTATTATTTTGGGTTCATATACGCTTGTACTGGAGATGCACATCTGAACAAGCGAATACAGTAAACAAAATGAAAGGGAATTGTTGATGACAACAAGTGATTGAAAAATAAATAATTTTTAGTGTGATTTAATGTGACATTTTCTTAATATACAAATTGAAGGTAAACTATTGGCTCCATAAACACATTAGAAACTGATTGACTATCAACCAATTTTGACATACCGGTTATACATGTAAAGGTTTTTCACCTTGGTCATTACATGTGGAACATCTGATCCTCTTTATGCATGACAAAATTAGTCTCTACAATCAAATTATACTAACTTCTTTTATCTTTGTTTTTCAAAAAACAATCATGCACATTTACTAAATTGTCATTTAGTGTATTAACTTTTTCAGCTGCTTTTGGTCATGAATTATATTGATTCTAAACACCAGCTCATAAAATTTCACCAATGTTTGGTGCTTTTTTGTTTGTTTACGTATGTCCAGTAATTCTGAACCACGTTATTGACTGAATAGGCTCAACCAAATAACAATATGGCTGCCTTAGTTTAACTCAGACAATTTGATTACAGTTATCAAATATCACTTCAATTCAAAATTGCATGTACATGACAAAAAATGTTTTTACATCAAGACCCTTCTAATTTTGTCTCCTGTGCTTTGAGTAATGTAAATGTTTGAATAGTTTGTAAACAAAAGGAGACACAATATTTGCTTCTGCGATGTCAAACAGACATAACAATGCACCGCTAAATATAGGAAGACATTTACAAGTTGATGTCAGTTCCATTAGCATTTGTTCCCCAAAATTGGTGAAAACAATCTTAAATTTAGAGGAGAGGAATACTATATAGTTTACAGTGAAAAACATACTCATTGTAATTTGAAACGGCCATCAGATCGTTAAATTTCAAAATTTCAATTCAGTAAAAATGTGACAGAAAAGTTGGAAAAAAAAGGCCACTGGTCAGATATTTTGAATTAAGGATGCTGTGTAGGTTTTTTTGCTTTGAAACCCAAAATTCTACTTTTTTGTATTTTTCAATGCTTGACTACAAAGAGCAAACACTCAGTAGGAAAAAAAGTGATTTGGATGTTTTTATAGGGTGTAAAAATCAATTTTTGTTAATTAAAAACAAAAGCACATGTCATTGTTTTGAAAGCTATGTTTTAATTAATCAGCCAAAGACATAATAGACAGATAATTTGCATAATAGTCTCTTGCATT